AAACACAGAGAGGCTGAGGGTTGGAGGGGAGAGGGGGGAGTAATGAAGGGGACAGAAACACAGAGAGGCTGAGGTGGCAGAGACCCCGACATTCACTTTTCTATGATTTTTCAAATATAATATACATTTTTTCGACATACTATACTGTCATCTTGTAATACTTTTTTCACCACTCTACTGTGAGTTTTCTATGACTTTTTTGACACACTATACTAAGACTCACTTTTTTCGGAAATAATATACTATTTGACTTTTTAATGTTATATTTCAACATACTAAACTATGACCTTTTATACATTATAAACCCAATTTAATTGGACTTTTTTGACTTCTTTCGACATGCTATACTATGATTTTTTAAAGACTTTTTTGAACATACTATATGATGTTCTCATGACTATTTTCGACTTACTATACTTTATTAATTTTTGACTTATTCATAGTTTTTTGTCAAAGTATACTAAAACTTTTTAATGATTCTTTTCCAACATGCTATACTAAGACTTTTTTAAATTTACTGTAAAAAATATAATTTACTACTGTAAGACATATGACTTCCTACACAATTACTTTTTATATTTTTTATATGCTATAACTTCTTTCAACATACTAAAGTATGACTTTTTTCAACCTACCGTTGCGACCCTCTCGTTGTCTTGCAGGCTGTCCTGCCCAACCTAAGCAGGCACATGGCTAACAGAGGGTTGTCGCTGTCTCTCTCCCTTCCTACAGCTGACATCCAGCCTGCATTACCTTTTTAGGGTTTTGCACCTTCAACACCTCCACAGCACACATGCCACACATGCACTGCTTCAATCACTGACTTTGCTGTTCTCCTGATCTATGGTTTGTTTTATGTTAACAATAGTTTATACATTATGTTTGGTTTGCAGTACAACCTTGCGTGGACACCCTCCTTGTCACATTTCACGATCTTTTGCACATAAATGCTTAATTCTCTTGCAGAGATTTCCAGGTAAGGTTATTTTATTGTCATTGTACAACAGGGTTGCACAATGACATGCAGATTTTAGTCCCATTTTGCTACACAAGAAAAACACAGAAATATGTTTGTTTGATGTTTGATGTCTCCACACAAAGATCAGATTGTTTGTCTGCCATTGACTTCTCGTCTCTTCAGTGGTCGTTAAAGTCACTGCTTCATGTCTGTTTCCAATCGCTTTATGCTTTTAACGATACACCTCAGCCAGACGTAAAAACTTGTGTTGCAATATTTGTTTTCTATATTTCAGTTTCCAATTTCTTACGCACAAATGGAGAATGTGCATAACACATAAACATGCCATCTAATCTAACACAATACTGCTGTGGTATGAAAAATCAACCTCAAGTCAAGTACACATTAGTCAGTTTCACGTTTCAGAAGTTATCAGAAGTGAAGTTTATTTCCATATTTCACAATGTAAAACAGTATTTTGTGTTGAAGGAGAAGTTAAGAAGAGGATAAAAGGTTAAGATGCCTTTACAGTTACAGTACCTGTTGCATAGTTTGACATGATTAAACAGAATACCTTCTCTAATATTGTGCTCTGCATTTCCAAAATCCAACAGCCCGAGACCAGAAGAAACGGCTGCACAGGGTGCTGATCTCATTCTAAAACCTGCTACTGGTTTCATGGGAGACAAGAAACCAGATCGGGGTCTGAATGGTCTCTACAGAGGTGTGTGCACTACACTGGTTCTCTCACGGTGAAATATCCCCACAGCTCTCTGGAGAGCAGCAGGGATCACTTCCGAACTGAATATTTAAAACTGAAAACCAAATGACCCTGACAAAGTGCCAAAACAGGCGTTGGTGTTGTACAAATCATTTATAAGAGCGTCTGGTGCCGTGAGGCAGTCTGTTCATCTTTATACAAAAAGAGACAGGACGGAGGTTCCTCACAGAACAAAGTAACAAGAAATGGTATCAATAACTGCCTCAAGCATATGGTGATCTGAGAGCTGCTGTAAAGGAAGTTACATTGTTTGTAATAGCAGAACTACAGGCCAGATTACTGTACCCTGAAATTAGCTTTTGATCATATTTAAATCTTGGGATTCCATATTAATCACCCCCTCAGGTAATCATTTCCATTAAGAAAAAAAAAATGTATATTTTCCAAGAGAGCATATTAAAAAGGATCAACATGTGATTTTGTCACATATTTTATTTTCCTTTTGTTTTATCGCTTTTGAATTAATTGAGCCATGCAAGCCACAACATCGTGTATTTCCCTTTAAAAAAAAAAAAAAAAAAAGAAGGTACATCAACAGCCTGTTGTTCAGAAGCTCTTAAACCTTTTTACGGCCACCAGATGTAAATACAATAACTCAAAGTCCTCAGTCCTCATAAAGTCCTTAATGTCAGAACCAAACAAACTTTGATTTAAGAGAACCTGTCACATTCCCCAGTCTCTCCATTTGCGTATTAAGAATATTAGTACGATTGAAGGGGGGGGGGGGCGCAATGTATCAGTGTGGTGTGCTCATCATGGCTGAGAGGTTTGACAGCGAGCTCTTGTGATTGAAGCAAACCTCACAGAAAAAAAGGAAGAGGTTCAGAAGAAAACGATGACTGTTTATGCACGAGGCCCTTTGTTTTCAGAGTGATGGGACGGCGTTGGAGACAAAACTATAATACCTCTTGAAACCACATCATCATCATCATCTAGGTATTTACTGCACCACTAAAGTCCAGTCATCGTGTTCTTCTACAAAATGACCACATCTCTGTACACACTGGAGCTTTGTACAAACAAGCTAAGGAACCAGTGAACGAGTGTAAATTCAACTGTGATCTGGGTTTCACTCAAGTACTCGTTTATGTTTTATGCTTCTTTTATGTGACAGTTAGGATACAGTCAGTTTGATACTTTACAGAGACAGATCCATCAAACTCAAGACTGATATGTGTTGCAGGAAGAATGTTGCAAATACTAACTCACCGGATAGTACCACTTTAAAGAAATACTGGTGCTTAGTTAAATATTTCAGGGAAATATGCTTATTTACTTTGTTGTTGGATGAGAATATTGATACCAGTGTCATCACTGTCGATATATGTAGCTACAGCCAGCCGGCAGTTAGCCTAGCTTAGCATAAAGACTGGGAACAGGGGGAAACAGCTAGCTCACCACCAGCGCCTGGAAAGCTAATTATTGAAGATGTTAAACCTCAGTTGTGTATCTGTGCAAATACAGAAGTGTAAAAATAACACATTGTGCTTTTAAAGGTCCACTGTCCCAAATAACATTCTGGGGCCCTTGAAGCTTCAGTGACAAATATTCCAGAATAGTTGAAGCTGTGTAAAAACAAATCATATAAAGGCCTATAAATAAACTGACATATGAAACAAATGACAGGGCTTCGCTGAGAGCAGTAGCTCAACAGAAATTGTCTTTATAAACGAAGGGAAATGAAAATAGAAATGGTGCCCTTGTCAGTGTAGATCTATTCTCAGCCCAGGCAGTGAGATGAAGTGAAAAGAAGAAGGCTTAGAAGCGGAATATGTCATGTCCTTCTGCCTATTGATCTCATCCACTCCTATTCAGGACCCTGGACAGCGCCGCACCTATTCAGGACCCTGGACAGCGCCGCACCTATACACAACAAACGGCATTAAAAATGATGAATAGTGTGGGATTAAGTTTCCGTATTTCATGGCTATTTGGTTTTTTTATATATATATATATATATATATACACACATATACATATATACATACACATACACACACATATACATACACACACATACATATATACATACACATACACACATACATATATACATACACATACACACACACACATATACAATTCAGATCTCCACCTGTGACTACTGCTGTAGTGTGCGATTGAATGAATACATCCCACGCTTTTTTAATCCCCCCGTCTAGACACCAATGGACTGTTCAGACGCAGTAAAACACACTTCGTTCAAACTCAGAAACAAGCGGCGATGTATGCAGACAATTGACTCGAAGTCGTCATATAAGACACGTCGTCCAATCTTGCCAAGAACAGAATAAAGCTCAGCAAGCGGCCTGCCCGCCTAGCAGCAGAACAGCAGTGTGTGTACTGGTAGTTACGTTAGCCGTTAGCGGCTAGCCAAACACACCGTACAACAACAAACGTGAGCCAACACAATCAGAAACGTAATAACAGCTGTGCAGAGTTGTCTGATTAAACAAATGGGAACAACATGGTCATTATTGACCTTGTATTGGTATGTGCGTTTCTGTTTTGTTTTGTTGTTTCCCAATAAAAGATGTCGGCTCTTATGCTAAGCTAAGATAATTGCCTTCTAGCTCCAGCTCAATGTATCCCTTTACCTTTTTCTTTACAAACCTCAGGTGTTGGACAAAGATGTGAGAAAGAATGTTGGAGGAAAAGTGAACTCTTTTCTCACCACATTCGCAGCTTCGAAGTCAATAATTTTCTTTCTGGCAGACGTTGCTTATAACGCAGGTTTCTCCCTCCTCAGTCTAGTTGTGCTTCATGGTGTGGATAGCAGCTCTCCCATGATGTTTATCGGATATTTAAGAAAAGAAACGCATTGAAAAAACTGGATTGCAATCAAGGTTTGATCGACTCAGGCAGAAACGGTGTTACCGTCGCAGCTTCCTTTCACCGTGACAAAGAATTCAGCATTTGTATCTTAAATGTACTTGAGATGTTTGTTGCAGCAGGAGAAAAATCTAAAGTTAAATCCGGTCCAGGTCATGTGAACGGCCGAACAAAAGGCATGCTGTCTCGACTGATTTCCCTTCAGTTTGTTTCCATCGGACGTGCACGGAGAGATGCAACAGCCATGCTTCAGAGAAATGAGCCGAGTGGACGGACGAGCACGGATCACCGCTGCAGCTCCTACACAGCACATCCACCAGCCTCAGCTACAACAGCGACCTCACAGTCAGAGAGCAGAAGAAGAATGACCACATGCATCCACTTGTCTCACTCCGTACGATTCAAACATCTGTACACACATTTATTTATGGGAATACGTCCCTTTACATGTTTACTGACTTATTTGAATGGGATCTAAATGCTTCTCCATAACGTGGGCCTACTGTGTGATGTCACATCCTGTTTGTCCGTCCATGCAGAAGGACCAAGATGGAAAATATGCTGATGCTATGCTCGTCTTACTGTTAGATGCTGTTGATTAGTGTAAAGCGGCTGCTGTTCAACAAACAACGTGTCACTCTGCGAGTACAGCATGCACACAGAGGAGATCATTGCTGTTTCCTCCACACATACAGCACCAGCATGAATCTGCTGCTGGTTTTGTGGTATATGACAGTTCATTGACTGTCTTGGGTTTTAGACTGTTGGCTGGACAAATTAAGTAATTTTAGTCCTGATTGCAGTTCTGAGTTGGAGGTACTCCAGAAGTGTCCACATGCTGCAAAGCCTCCATCACAAGCAACAACATCGAAATACAATCCAATATGAACACCAGTACTGAACATTCAATTCAGCTCATCTAGGAAGGAGCTACTGTTATAGACAGTTGGTTTGAATCAGCGTTCACTTGCTAATGAACTGATCCAAATAACACAAGGAAAGTAGCTAATTCAGGGCTAAAGGCCTGCTCACATCAGAGGTGGTGTCTTTTGACTCTTTCAATGTTTGATTTGAAAACGTTTGGTGACGTAGAAACCTTATCAGCAGGGCTAGTTAGTGAACTGCTGGTGAGCTAACCACCAACGCACTAGCTGGCCAGGAATAGCCCGCGTCAGTCACTGTAGCTCCTGACGCGATCTTCCTCTCCAACAGTACGGTAACATGTGAACCACTGGCAGTGTCTGTCCTCGTCCGATTCCTTCGGTGACTGCCGGAGCAGCTCCTTACGTCGTTACATAACAGGACTACACATACCGTAATAAAAAATGGATCAAGAAGTCATCATTTAGTAAAGGGCCCATCTTGCAGTAAAATGCTGGATGGAGAATAAGTCGGTGTCATCCTTTGAAAATGGACGGTTTGTACAGAGATGTCTTTTTTTATAATAACGTGTATCACACTTCTCAGCTGTTCAGTTGAAAATATTCCTGAAGAGTTATTAAAAGACTTCCCGTGAAGCATTCTAACACATGATGAGTTCCTGTTCACTGCTGTACAGGGTTAGCTGTAGTTACATCGGGAGGGTGGAGGAGAACAGGTGACAGTGGGGTGAATCCAGAACCTGAACGGGTGCTTCCTCGCTCGTCTTTAAGTTCATCGAGGCCGGCACGATCACTGTACAGATGGATCCACGTAAATCAGGAGCAGATGAAGCAGTGTGCGTGAGTAAACGAGTGTGTGTGTGTGTGTGTGTGTGTGTCTGGTTACTGGGCCTCTTCTGGTCTTTTTCCACAGGACAAGACATTGTGTGCGTTTTCCAAGTCTTACATCCACAAAAAGTTGAGTTGAAGACATTTGGCAGGCCTTCCTCTCCCTCATCTCCAACTGAACTTCCTCTCACTGCCTCCTTCCTTCCCTTTTTTCCACTTGTCAAGTTCCATCTCTTTAGTACCTTGCGGAAGTTACTTCTTGTCGCTGTTTTGAAATATTTGTTCATAGGACGGAGGCGGGTGGTTGCAGTAGGACGGAGGCGGTGGGTAGGAGCCCATCATCATATGGGCGGAGCCAGGCTGTGGTGGGTATGCCGGGTGTGTGAGGGTGACCCCCGGGTCGCCACCAGTCATCCCGTTGACCCCGAAGCCCTGCATACTCCCCGGCTGCTGGGAAACTGGAAAGAAAAGGAGAACGGTTTGAGTTTTATTCCAGACTTTGGCAACATGTTCCTTGTACTTGCACAGTACTGGTCTGAACTGATGCTCCTGGTAACTGGAGGCAACTGTGGCTTAGTGGAGAGTCTGAATCCTGCTGTACCTGGGGAGGTGGCAGGGTGCCTGGTGAAGGAGACGTTGAAGGCTGCCTCGTCTCTCAGAGGGGACGGATACATCCTTCTGCGGACGAAGAAGCCGACACCGCAGCAGAACAGCACTCCCATCATCAGCAGCACCCTGAACGGGACAAACAGAGGACATGTCAGACCTTTCACCAACCAAACACCATCAACACACCGTGCTTGTCCAGCGGGAGCAGGAAGAGGATGGAAGAAAAGATCAGGCTTTAGCCCAACGTCATTGTCAATGATTAAATGTTTAAAAGTATCATCTGCAACGCAGCAAGCAGACACAGAGGAACACTCATGGCCAGTCAAAACAAAGTACTACATAGAAGCAAAAGAGTGTACCGTCTCTCTGTAACTCACCAGAAGTACCATAGTCTCTGGATGGACAGGGCTCTCACACAGCAGCGAGTCCCACAGCAGTCCTCATAGGAGCGACATCTACAACACAGAGAGGCATACAGGTCAGCAGTTAGCCTCAGAATATACACCGGTCCTTAACAACAAAGGGATGGGACGATATAGTGAGTGGACTTTATGAAGTTCTGCTCTAGTCTACCAAACACCAGAAGCTCTTCACAACATTCACAAACATTCATACACTGATGGCAGAAGCTACCATGCAAGGTGCCAATCAGCTCATCAGGAGCAGTTCAGTGTCTTGCTCAAGGACATTACAACACTCTCTTTGCAGGAGCAGGGGGACCAAACCATGGATGTAAAAAAAAGAGAACTGGATACACCGTTGGAGGCAGCGCCCCGTTCTTTCCCATCAAAGCTGCTTAGTGGCGCATGAAGCAAAAACAGTTTGACTTCAGAGGATAAAAACCAGATGTAAATTACCCGGATCTTCAAGCGATCTTTTGCATCCATGGGCCCCAGACAGCAAGCGCACTAGCGGTATCTTTAACCCCGCCTCCCGCCTCCCAGCCTCCCAGCCTTCGATCCTTCCCATGAACGGAGGGAGAAAAGTAACTCTGGGTTTGTACTATTAATGGATTTGACAAGTTTTAGGACCTAATGATTTAAATAAGGGCTATTCAAGTGTTCATAAGTTGATTCACCTCACGTGATGGACCCAGAAATGTAGTTCCTTTGTTCGGCCACTATGTAGAATTCCTTTCACAGCCTGGCACTCTTCCTGAGGGCTTGGATCCAAACCGGGACCCTTCCAATTACTACATCACCGCTACCCCTCCATACCCTAATGGTATGATATCATCGTGGACCACGGTAAAAAGATACATTGTGTCAAGTTGTGGTGAAGTATTGTCATGAATTTCCATTATCGGGATAATCGTGCATATCCTCAAATGAGCTGTCCAGCTTTCTATCATGGTAGGAAAGTTAAAAGCAATTCCTGATTTAAATAAAATAAAGGATTTATCATGCAAGACAAGGGTGTTATTTTCTCTTCTATTCAGTTATCCAAATGATGCACAGGGGAGCTTATAATTATGACTATTTCATTAGTTAGTTTGTATTTCATTCAAAAGGATGTTTACTAAAAAAAACTACTTTAATTTAAAGAAATTTCAGATAGGCGGTAGATTGTGATGGTGAGCTAAGTCGTAAACTTTACACTGGGACACAAGATGAAATACGTCGTCCCTTTTGGCAATAAAATGTTGCAATAACATTTATTTTGTTCATGCTGCTTTTAGGCAATTAAGATGATGCACATATTCTATTCATACTTTCCATTTATTTTATATTCTTCATATTTTCAATGTGTCCTTTTCTATTTATGTTTCTTTACATTTGCAGTGCTTGCTTTCATTCTCATGTTCTCTTATTATATTCACCAAACTCCAAAAGCACATTCCTTGTAAGTGAAAACCTTCTTGGCAATAAAGCGGGTTCTGATGTTGCCGTTCATCACAGTTTCTGCTTCGTAAACAAACTTGAAATGGTTTCATTGTAAACGGCAAGCCGGCAGCCTGGGAGCCAAGTATTCAGAACAGAGGCTAACTGTGATTGATCAGTGTATGGTGAGCAGCAGTAAACCTGCACTAACACAGCTGAGCAATAACCAGGTGTGTGTGTGTGTGTGTGTGTGTGTGTGTGTGTGTGTGTGAGATAGATGACTGTGGATAGCCAGCATGACAGTGCATACCTCAGACTCCCAGTCCTGTCTAGCATTTCAACACTAGATCAGGATGAGCAGCTGCTGTCCCTGGAGGCCCCAGAGTCTGCAGTAATATTAAAACAAGTACCAAACCCCGCCCGCCTGTTTGCAAAAACTCTGTAAATGTTCTTCGTTACTGGAGGAATGGTGAAGAGTTTAGACTCACGATAGAACTAGTCTGGTTCTTTGAGTCCCCAAAGGATCCTGATCTCGAAATGAAAGCAGACAACATCCTGCTGATCACTGACTGAGAGAAGGGAGGTTTCATTATTCGGATCATTCTGATCAGCATTACAAGTTCCGACATATCGGCCCCCGGGTGACTCATGAAAACATAGTCATGGATGTTGTATTTCATTTGTGCTAGTAGATCCCCTAAAATGCTAAGCACGGGCCCTTTAAGGATGAGCAAGCTAAAGCTAATGTACCGTAACAACAGTCCTGCTTTCGGATTATTTCGGAGGCTGCCGTCTGCGGTGCTGTTGAAATAAATTGTTACACTGAGAGCAACGTGAATATTCAAACCTGAGAGTCTCCAAGCTCTGGATGCATTGATTACATCTGTGAATAATTACTGAGTTATGTTCAATAACCTGGTTCAAATATGCTCATTCACTTCTACTGTCTTCTACTGAAAACAACTGTCCCTGGAAACACCTGTCAAAGCTCCTGCTGAAGCAGACAATAATGTGGTTTCAGCACCGTGTCCCTTCTCTTTGTGCCTTTGAGGAGACAAAGCTACTTTACAGAAGTAGAGTGTGTCAGCAGTGTGGACATACAGTACGCTTCGACAGACGCCGTGCACCAAGCTTTTCATTCCCTCTTTGTCACAGATATATGTGAACACGTGGATTGTTATTCGGAAAAGAAACTGGATTCTGATGTAGTTGAAGCTCAAGAGAACCCCCCCCCCCCCAACAAACAGTGAAGGAGAAAGGAGTACTTCCCTCCGAGTTGGTTTTCATTACTACGGTAATCTCTCCTCCCGGGTGCTCTCCCTTTCTCCATGGCCAGTAGCAGGAAAGCAAGCTAAATGGATGAAAGTTGGAACTGTGGGAGAAGCCGGTCATCTGTCTGAATCAGTAAAATAAACTTCTTAAAACCACTGCCAGAGTTTAAAGCTCCAGTAAGCAATAGGTTTGGAAATCCCATTGACGCATACTTAGAATTTTGATGCAAGGGCTGCACGTGCGGATGAACCCGCTGAGACTCAACACAGCTCTGCAGCTCAGTGTAGATTCTTAGCTTCTATTTGGTATTCCAGCCAACACGTAAGAGCTTCATAAGCTTCTGTTACATTTGAGAGAGATATATATATATA